ACTTTTCATATGAAAAAATATGGGCAGCCAGGGAGGCTGCTGAGTGCTAGAGAAATATTCACAGGAAGGAAAGGGGGAGGGACACCACCCTTGGCCAATTTGTAATGATGAGGTAAGTGCCAAACCCCTCATGCTTTAGAATTCTGAAGAAATTCTAAGGTGGTTTGAGAATGAGGCAGAAAATTGTAACCTTTTTCTCAGGCAAAGAAAATTATTAAAAAATTGAAGGATAGATTCCAGCATAGCACTAACTTCAGATACAGATTGGCATTCCAGTTGATTCTAAGGTTTGTTTTTTACTCGATTTTCCAGAAACCATTTAATATTGTCCATTAACAGAGCCATGATATATGCTTCAGAAATATTATTTTGATCCATCCTTCTTTTTTTCCAATATATTTTTTGTATTATGGAATGTGTGTGTGTGTGTGTGTGTGTGTGTGTGAAGCTCTATGATACAGTGTTTTAGCTCCCTTTGTAGTTCTCTTACGCTTCTTTACTTTATCTCAGAGAATTCTCTTTTGAAATTAGAGTCCTCTAACTCCAAAGAGCGCTTACTCCTCATTAGTCCATTTTACAAATTAATAAATCATCCAGAGCTGAGTTAATAATGGTCCTTCCATCAAAACAGGCTGTTAAAGTCTTTCAAATTATTGAGTATGAATCTTAGAATTTATTAACATTCAAGTTCTTTCATAGTCCTCTCCCTAAAACTTCGAAATGAGAGAATTTGTGACAGATGAGATAAGAAAGAAGTTTAATGATAATCTTGTCAGACAAAATTAACCTGACCAAAAAATCATCATCATCATGTGTGAAAAGCTATAATAATGTGGCATTTTCACAGTGTATAACGGAAAGCAATGCTTAGGGCTTAATATTCATGCTTTATATAAGGGTGACCAGTATAGAGCCCATCAGATGTTGATTGCCTCAATGGCATCACAAAGTCCAGAAATTTCTTTGCTGGTAAGAGATGCACACTATATATTTCTGTATACCTATTGCGTGTCAAGGTCCCCAAGACACCCCCAAATAAAACACAATTGACACATTATTTAGTTTAAGGGTTTTTGGCATAATTCTGGCTACAATTTTATTAAAATTACAAGCAATGTGAGTGGTTGCTTAGGCATTGGTTGTGACTATCTGACCCCGCACGGGGTCAGACTGACATTCGCACGACCGCGAAGTCAGTTTAAAGGGAAAACATTTTGGGAAGAGAGATGAGACTGGGAACCATTCCTCACCTCTCCCCAAATGCTCCCAGGGGCTCTTGTGTGGCCCTAGCCCCTTGACAGGGGTTCGGACAAAAGCACGGCGAGGCCCTGGGTTCCTTTAATGGAAAACCCTTGCAGCAGCAGCATTTTTGAAGGGGCCGGCACAGCCAATCCATACCCCTCCACCAACCAATTCCCAGACCAATGCCTAACTGCAACCTTACAAGTTGTGACGATTTGTTACGCAGTAGGCAAAACCCAATTGGCACCAGCCAATCAGCCAGATGGACAAAATTCCTACTGGGCCCTTCCCCAAAAGCAGACGACCCCATGACAGGCATAGCAAGGTCAAGCGAACAACCCGAAAATAGGGAGGGAGGGTGGGTGATCCGATGCACGCAGCGAAAAGAGGAAGCTCAACGCTGCGTGCAGGGCATTTAAAAGCTAGGGTTATCAATCACGAAATGGCAACATATAAATCCCCCCAGTAACAACCAGCCCCCTGTTGATGATGGCCAAACTCTTTCCCCGCCCAGCAACTGTGGGTGTCTTGATAGCCCCCACCGCAACACGTGCTCTCCATGAAGGAGAACATGCTTTGTCATAGGACAGTCAGGAGTCCCACCCCCCTTTTGTTGAAGTCTTATATATTTATCGGTGGCTGACACTGGATTTAGTTCTGTAAAGGTGGAAGAGTTTGGATTTCGATTTGATATCCCGCTTTATCACTACCCAAAGGAGTCTCAAAGCGGCTAACATTCTTTTTTCCCTTCCTCCCCCACAACAAACACTCTGTGAGGTGAGTGGGGCTGAGAGACTTCAAAGAAGTGTGACTGGCCCAAGGTCACCCAGCAGCTGCATGTGGAGGAGCAGAGACGCGAACCTGGTTCTCCAGATTACTAGACTACCACTCTTAACCGCTACACGTGCTGTTTGGTACTTCTTTGGAAGCTATAATAAAGTTATTGTCTTAATTTCTCAGCAATTTTGGTTCCTCACAGCCTTCCATGATGCAGCCCCATGTGGAGAAGTACACAAATATGCAGCATTCCTGACTGGAAGCTTTGATTATCACAGGAATGTTACCACAGCTGCCTTATCCTTTTCTCATCCAATTAGTGGGATTATTCTCTATACATCTTTCCTAGGAAACAAGGGCAAGGCATGGTACCTTCATGCAAAGGTCCCAAAGTGTGGAAGATAAAAATATCTAGCCTGGCTCCAGTGATGATCAAACATAGCACAGATGGAAAGCAGTCTCATTTAAATCAAAAGCAAAGAGCATGCTAAACTTATCACCCCTGATGGGATGAAAGGGAAGCTCTCTCTATTGGGGGCGAATACAAAAGAAAGTGGTGGGAAAAAGAAAGGATACAAGCTTGTACCCTTGAGGTGGGGTGAGTTCAGAGATTTCTAACATTCCTTGATACCACGGAAGGATAAAATAGTGGGCAACTGTGCAGGCTCATCTGAATTTAGTGATACATTTTCAGCTAGGAAAGCCCAACCAAAAATATTTTTTAAAATTCTGGTTTTAGATATAATACATGTATGATATGTGTGCACTGATAAAAATTTTTATAATGTATGTATTTATACACGTATAATAATTGTACATTTTTCGGTCTTCTAAACATTTTCAGATCAAGGTAGAAGCAGCAAATAACAGGCTTATGAATGAACACATTTGAAAATTATGTAGGCTGGAAATATTTAGCTCTGTCCATCCCTACTCTAGGCTACTAAAGTGTCTGCCATCTCATTCCGCTGGATGTGTAGAATCTGAACTTGACTCTTAGTGAACTTCTCTATTTATCCCCCTTGGGAAACTGTAACTTTATATTCCGGAAAGGACAGTATAAGAAAGGTTCATCCACCTCCACCCTTCTTGTCTCCCCTTCCCATCTCTTAAAAGGCAAAGACTCCTAGGCAGCATCCTTTTATGTATATTGGTGCTTTACAGATAACAGGCTATATTTTCAAATAGTATCTGATAGTGCAGAAAGTATTAGGTAAAACTCACTGACAGCCTGGCAGCTTCAAGGTCAAGATTCACAAACCTGTAAGGATGATAGACAGGGTTTCCCCTCAGCCTTGGCTAATTCCATTTTCAGGGTTTGCTCTTTGTGCATCTTTGACTTTGGCGTTTATCAGCATAGGGCACCACCATTGTTTTCATTTTCCTTTCCAGAATTCAGAAGTGGGGAAGAGTTCACATTTTAAAGGGGGGGGGGAGTGGATTCAGGGCTTCAGGCTTTTATATTTGCCTTCTGCTCAATTTGTCCCAAATTTTTAGAAACTAAGGGCAAAGTTGATTTGACTGGAGAGGACATGTGGGCATGTGGAAGAGAGAAAAAAGTAGGAGAGCCATACTGTTAGAATTAGCAAGGAGTACAGAACAAACAAGTCCAAGGTTAATGGATTATTTCAACATCCCTCCTCCAAATTGGAATATCCTGTGATTGGAGAGCCCTGGTAAAATACTTCCCTCTGATTAAAAGCTAGACCAAATCTACTAAACACACTGCTCTTCCTTCTGCATTGTGACAGTAAGGTTTTTTTTAAAAAAAAATGCATTTAAATATTGCAATTTAATTGTTGTAACCCTTTCTGGGACCGTGGGGTAAAGGGCAGATCAACAACAACAGGTGTGGAGCTCCCCCCCCCCCATTTCATCTGAATTAGATGCTCCTAGTCTTTAAAATAATAAGCAACCAGGAGCGACTTCCTCTCTCATCCTAGCAGAGCTCCGTGAAGCCACCCCATGGAGCAAGTAGCTTGCATTTTCTCTTTCTCTCTCCATGCTCCAAATGCAAGGGCCATAAAATGCTTTTGCCCAATCCCAGCTCTCTTGCCATCCAGCAACCCCATTACAAGTTCATTTGCAGGACTTGTTGGGAAACGAAATCCAAATGTGGAAAAGAAAGAAAGGCAGTAATGCCCAGTAACTTTGAGGGGCCGCAGCCCCCTCAAATATTTTACAGAGAGGGGGCAAGTAACCTGGGCCTCTAGGAGCTAGCGCCTATGCTCTCCAGGATTTCAGTCAGAGGACACTCCCAGCTCTATCTGGGAATGCCAAGGATTGAACCCTTGACCTTCTGCATGCAAAGCAGATGCTCTACTACTGAGCTGTAGTCCTTCCACAAAAGAATCGCGTTCTCCCACAAGACTCAACTCGGTGACTAGGTACAGTGTGAGTAGACTACACAATATAAGCATTACCTTTCAACGAAAAGGCTGCTGCTAACTTTTACTTTAGAAAGAAAATAAACTGACTTTACTGGGAAAATATGCCAATAACCCCAATTTTTGGCTTCTGTACAAAAGTATTTTGGCAACTGGCCCAGAGCTTCACACACACACACACACACACACACACACACACAGAACAGCTGGGATATTCCCCCCGCCCTCCATTTGGCTGGCAATCCTACCTGTCTTATGTCATGTCCAGATGATGTTCATTTCAGGGATCAGGTGCAATGTTCCAGTAAATGAAATCCCTGCACTCCAGACATGCTTCAGCCTCTGCTAGTCCCTGTCAATCCAATGAAATCTGTGAAAGGATGGAAACTAGAGATGGGCCAATCTTTCTCCCAAAAAATAATTGCCTGAGAAATTGCTGGAGATTTTTCCCCCTTCGTTTTCGCCTCCCCCAGGAGAAAGCTAAGAAAGAAAGAAAAAACCCAACACCAGCCCTCGTCTGCCTGCAAATAAGCAATAACCCAGCATATTTCAGTAATGTTGGGAGAACCGGTGGACTAAGCCCCTGCTCTTTGCTGCCTGTTTCTCTTAGCTTGTCACTTTATTAACCCACCAGCATGAATGAATAATATTGGTGACTGGGAGTGGCTGCTGAGATCACATAACACTGGTCCTGAAAGACCTACATTGGCTCCCAGTACGTTTCCGAGCACAATTCAAAGTGTTGGTGCTGACCTTTAAAGCCCTACACGACCTTGGTCCTGTATACCTGAAGGAGCATCTTCAGTCCAGACACTGAGGTCCACCTCCAAGGGCCTTCTGGCAGTTCCCTCGCTGCAAGAAGCCAAGTTACAGGGAACCAGGCAGAGGGCCTTCTCAGTAGTGGCGCCCACCCTGTGGAACACCCTCCCACCAGAGAAAAACAATGACCAGACTTTTAGAAGACCTCTGAAGGCAGCCCTGTTTAGGGAAGCTTTTAAAGTTTAACAGACTATTGTATTTTAATATTTGATTGGAAGCTGCCCAGAGTGGCTGGGGAAACCCAGCCAGATGGCCGAGTATAAATAATAAATTATTATTATTATTATTATTATTATTATTATTATTCAATATTTTGGTGCCCCGTGGCTATTCACTGTGATGGCTATATTATGCCTCTACCGTCGGAGGCAGTAATGTATCTGAATACCAGGAAATTGCAGGAGAGAGAGTGCTCTTCTGCTCCAATCCTGCTTGTGAGTTTCCCACAGGCATCTCATTGGCCACCGTGAGAACAGGATGCTGGAATGGATGGACCACTGGATTGATCCAGCAGCCTTTTCTTATGTTCTTAGGTTCACATGCAATTCAATGACAAAACCAAATGTCAGTGAAAAGTCGAGGAGAAAAGTAGAACACTATTGTTGATTCAGGGTGGGTTGAGACATAGAGACCGCGCTCCTTCTCACTCTCTTATCAGGAGAAAATAATACGGAGAAAAACAGCTGATTTTGACTGACCTCCATCTATAGAAACAGAATGTTTCTAGTTGTGTGTCAATCAATGACTGTGTAAACCTTCAGCCATTTCTATTAACTTTGTCTTGTTTATTTTCTGCTGGAAAATCATTTCATTTCATTTTCTTTTTTTACTGACCTTGGGAACTTCCATGATTGCCACAGCACTGATGCCTGCTACACTGTCATTCTGCACTTTTTTCATTGTTCAACTGTATGGCCCTATTATGGGAATGTATTATATTTGCAATGATAAGTGTACAGTACATCTGGTGGTAATGTGCTGTCAGTTGCAATGAGCTATTTGATGGATTTATGCCATGGGAGTAACCTGTTCAAGCCCAACTTGACCAACTTAGATAAAGGAGGGGGAGATCCAGTTACATAACCTTGAACAGCCAAAAACAGAAGACTGGGGAAAAGAACAACACTCTTGCATTAAAGAAATGACTGGTGTTACTGCCAGGCTAGATCCAGACACATCAAAGAAATGTTTCAGTTAAAAGCGCTGTAAATTTAAAGAGGGAAAACAGGTAGAGAAAAACGGGACTCCACATCGCCATCTGTTGGCATAGTGTGATATTGCACATACAACACATATAAATCGCTTTTTCTTTACAGTCTAGCTGAGTCCCTTCCAACTCTACAATTCTGTGATTTTATGATTCTAAAGGAGAGGCAGCATCTGCTAGTCCCCCAGCCCCAGAATTGACACAGGCCCTGGATCTTGGCTGCTGGTATTTCTATCTTGCTGGTTGCCTGTCTTTCTATTTTAAAAGATAGTTTTAATATAGATATATCTATATGTTTGGAAAAATATTTTGGGGGGCGGGTTTAGAAAATAATGTATAAATGAGATTCAGGCATCTCAGTGTATTGTGGACACCAACCTGTCATCGTGGACCTTAACCGCAACATTTTGAACCTCCCATATGGCACACAACTGTGAATATCGGGGCAGTGACGAATTAATTCAAGCCATCTGCCTCACACCGTTTAGGCTGTGTTTCAGGAAGCCTTTGAAGGCAGCTTAAGTCATATCCCCCACCCCTGCTTAACACAACAGCCCATACCTTTTTTGTACTGAGAAATACAAAATAATAATTAAAGATTGGGCAGCTTCTTAAACAACGATGTGCTTTTAAAGTCACATTATTTGGTTACTGATTTGAGGTAACAGAGCTTGGGTGTGCAAGGGCACCCATAAGTGCTCGAGTCAGTGAATGTTAGAAATTAATAAAGGGGTAGAATTTAGATAATATTTGGGGGATTGAAGGAAAGGAGCCAGGCCAGTGAAAAAAATTCAGACTATGTTCCAGGCCAGCACCTCACCTGGAATAGAAATCGTTAGGCATGACAGCAGGGCTGCAAAATATACTTCAGCCAGGAGAACCAAGCTTAGAAATGATATTGTTACAGAGTTTGCATGCCACTCCTAATCTCTGCTGAGTGGTAGCAAAATTCCAGGGGTTCTTCCGCAGCCCTTCCTGGAGATATCAGGGGTTGAACCTGGGAGCAGCTGCATGCAAGCAGATGTTCTATCGCTTCTTCAACAATAACCCGATGTATGATACAGAGATTTAGAATTTTGACACCCTTTCTGGCATGCCAAATATTCATTTTGAAGATAGGCCGCAGAACTCCGGCTTCATCAGTTCCAAATCCTATTATTTGGATTAAGAGTTTAAATGTTTTTTAACAACAACAACAACGAAGCTGTGGTTTTTCCAGCTTCTCTGGCATATATAAAGCTTTTTTTTTTTTTTTTTGCTTCAACCCTGAGGACTACATTTTAAAGGGAGAGACCTACAAACATAAACAGGTGGTTTTGGGGTGGGCATGTTTTGCAGAATACAAATCCTGTCTCATTAACCTTCATTCAGTCTTAAGCCCTTGAGAATGAATATCTGACTTGAGATTTGTAGGCAGAGAGCTGCCCAATAGATATAACTTTTGAATTTATAAAGAAAGAATAGGGTCTAACAAGCTGCTTAATACACTGTTCTCGGCCAGAGGCGGGTGAAGATGGGGGATAAGAAACATTTGCTTTTCCTTGAAACACTAAGATATTAATACAACGCTTCAAAGGATAATTTCTTATCATATGTATATGAATCCATTAGCTGTCAATAAGAGGTAAGAGCTAGATTTATCACTCAATACCCACCAGGAACATGTTTAATTTATAAGTTTAATGTACCTAAAATGTTACGTTTGGATGCATTGTATTTAAAATGCTGTAATGGACGTTTTTGCCATAGGCACAGACGCTGATGGTTTTCCATGGGAGATAAGTAACCTCATGACTCATCTCTGGAATCACGAGGTGGTCAGCTCACACAACGGGAAATGTAACTTGAGAATTGTGTGTGTGCTTTATCTGGAGGTAGCTAGCAGAGTCTCTGTGTGTTGCTGAAGAGAGACAGAGAGACACTCTGGTAAAGATGCTTAGAATCTCACTCTGGGGGCAGAGAGAGGAAGTTTATAGAACTGCATAAAACATGAACGTCATTGATTTGTTTGCAATGTATTGCTCTGTTATTTCTGTAATGTTTATCTTTTTGCAGCTGGCATTTAAGATTGTTCTGCAGTAAGGCTTTAAAACTTATTCTTGTACTGAAGAGAGCAGTAGCTTTTCATACTACAACATTTTGTTGCAGTCCCACTTTTAAGTCTCTGTTACCCATCCCTCCGTTTTTCCTGCGCCTTCCTATGGTAGCAACTGGGGTGAAGGGGCAGGCAGGGTTACAAGAACGAAGAGCCTGTTTTCTGAGGCAGAAGGCAGCAGATACCAAAAGGTTAAATTACATTAATAGATTAAATTCAAATGTTGGGATCTCCTGAATTAGGTCTTTGAAATTCTTCAGGCTCACTCATCGCTCCATTAATGTCAGGTCACGCATCCTTTGTAATTTTCATTAATTGGCACGGTTTCTTTCTTATAGCTTCCCCCTTCTTTATCCAGCCTTTTCTCTCTCAATCTGATGCGGCTGAATTATTAAAGACTATCTTCCCCATCCATCCTTCTGAAATGCAGTCAAAGAACACTAATGTCCAAGTGAATTAAGTATGGTCAGCTTAATTTTGAAAGGGTCCAGGGGCCTTCCTTTCTGCTCTATTTTAAGAATTGAGCTAAAGTTGCAGGAAAGAAAGAAAGAAAGAAAGAAAGAAAGAAAGAAAGAAAGAAAGAAAGAAATCTGTTGCTATTCCCAGGAATTGGAAGAACCACAGGAAAGAGTCTTCTTGCACCATATTTTTGTAAACTTTGCTGAAGAGCAACATGTCGATCTTTTTTAAAAACATACATATAGTGCAATATAACACATCCAACAAACCATGAGGAAGGAAAAGACACATGGTAACATTTTTTAAATGATGTCTTATGTTCCAATGTTGCACCCTTCCCTGATATTTTATGATATGGTGGTATAGAAATACTTTT